TTTTTCCATTTTCCAATTATAGGAGTGTTTCATTCACTCGATTTTTCAATTTCTTGATACTAAATTTTTCAGTTTTTCGATCTTTCGATCTTAGTTTTTCGACTTTATAATTTTGACGATTCTACAATTTTGCGAATTAAGAAATTTTAGATTTTACAATTTTTCGATTCAATTTGTTTTTTCTTCTTTCCGATTTTAACTTTTTTTGCAATCATTCAAGTTTCTTGATCTTTAGTTTTTCAATGATTTAATTTTTCGTTTCTTCAGTTCTTTGATTTGCAATTTTTCGATTTCGCAATTTTTCCATTTTTCGATTTTTCAATTTTTCAATTTTTCCAATTTTTTAGTTTTTCGTTCGGTTTTTTATTTTTGCAATTTTTTGGTTTTTGAATGTTCTAATTTTCAAATTTTCCTTTATTTTCAATGTAGAATATTTCAATTTTTGATTCGCAATTTTTCTAGTTTTCATTTTAAATGTGTATCTAATAACGATTATCATTTTTAAAACTCTTCAGTTTTTCACTTTTACTTTTTGGAAAATAAAAACCTTTTCATATATTCGATTTTACAATTTTCCCTTTTTTCAGTTTTTCGATTTTTCAATTTTTACCCATTTTGCAGTTTTTTTATTTCTTGAGTTCTACGAGATGTATCTGTCTCATTGAGTTTTCATTTTAAAATTTTTCTGTTTACCGATTTTCCAACTTCTTGATGTTCCAATTTTCAATTATTCAGTTTTTCGTTTCGGCTTTTTATTTTTTCAACTTCTCGATATTTAATTTTTCAGTTTTGCGATTTTTCGATTTTAGCTTTTCGACTTTATAATTTTGACGATTCTATAGTTTTTCGAATTAACAATTTTTGGCTTTTGCAAGTTTTCGATTCGATTTGTTTTTTTTTCTTTCCGATTTTTTAGGTTTCTTGATATTTAATTTTTCAAAGTTTAAATTTTTTCGTTTGTTAAGTTCTTCGATTTGCAATCTTTATATTTTCCACTTTTTCGATTTTGCAAACAAATTTTTTTTAGTTTTTCGATTTTTCAGTGCTTTTGTTTTTTCAGTTTTACGACATGTACAATTGTACATATCTGTCTCATCGAGTTTTCATTTTAAAATTTTTCTGTATATTGATTTTACAACTTCTTGATGTTTCAAATTTTCAATTATTTAGTTTTTCGTTTCAGTTTTTTATTTTTTCAATTTTTCGGTTTTTCAATGTTCTGATGTTCTAATTTATTTTTATTTTCAATATGAAATTTTTCAATTTTTCTATTTTTCAACATTTAGATTCTTTAATTTTTCGTTTCTTCAATTTTTGATTTGCAATTTTTCAAGTTTTCATTTTAAGTGTGTATCTAATCATAATTATAATTTTTAAAACTTTTCACTTTTTCACTTTTACTATTTTGGAATTTTTCCATTTTTCAGTTTTTCAATTTTTCGATTTTTAATTTTTCAATTTCTCGATATTTAATTTTTCAGTTTTGTGATTTTTCGATCTTAGTTTTTCGACTTTATAATTTCGACGATTTCTCGAATTGTTGCCTTTTGCAATTTTTCAATTCGATTCGTTTTTTCACTTTCCGATTTTTTAGGTTTCTTGATATTTAATTTTTCTAAGTTTCAATTTTTCGTTTCTTAAGTCCTTCAATTTGCAATCTTTCGATTTTCCACTTTTACGATTTTTCAATTTTTTCCGGTTTTCCAGTTTTTTTGTTTCTTAAGTTTTACAACATGCATCTATATCATCGAGTTTTTATTTTAAAATGTTTCTGTTTATCGATTTTCCAACTTCTGGATGTTCGAATTTTTATTTATTTTCGTATCGGGTTTTAAATTTTTCAATTTTTCAACATTTTGATTTTTTAATATTTGATTTACAATTTTTCTGGTTTTCATGTTAAATGTGTGTTTAATAACGATTATAATTTTTAGAACTCTTCACTTTTTCATATATGCATTCGATTTTTTAATATTTCCATTTTTAATTTTTCAATTTTTCGAAATTTAATTTTCCTGTTTTAGATCTTTCAATGTCAGTTTTTCGACTTTGTAATTTTGACGATTCTATAATTTTTGGGTTTTCCAATTTTTCGATTGGATTCGTTTTTTCTTCTTTCCAATTTAATTTTTTTTTGCGATCTTTAAGTTTTTTGATCTTTGTTTTTAAATGTTTCAAATTTTCGTTTATCGATTTGCAATTTTACGATTTTTTCCGATTTTTTCAAGTTTCGGTTTTTAATTTTTTCAATTTTTCGGTGTTTCAATGTTCTGATTTGAATTTTTCTTTATTTTCATTATGAAATTCTTCAATTTCTCGATTTTTCAATTTTTGATTAGTGTTTTTTCAAGTTTTCATATTAAATAGGTATCTAATAATTATTATAATTTTTAAAAATATTTACTTTTTCACTTACACGATTTTGAAGTGCTCCAATTTCCAATTATAGGCTTTTATAAGTTTTTCATTTATTCGATTTTTCAATTTCTCGATATTTAATTTTTTAAGTTTTTCGACTTTGTAATTTTTTCGATTCTATAATTTTTCGAATTTACAATTTTCGGGTTTTCCAATTTCTCGATTCGATTCGTTTTTTCTTCTTTCCAATTTTAATTTTTTTTTGCGAACATTTAAGTTTTTTTACCTTTAGATTTTCAATTTTTCGTTACCAATTCTTCGATTTGCAATCTTTCGATGCTTCTATTTTTTCCGTTTTATGAAGTTTTTTGTTTCTTGAGTTTTACGACATGCATCTATCTCATCGAGTTTTCATTTTAAAATTTTTCTGTTTATCGATTTTCCAACTTCTGGATGTTAGAATTTTTAATTTTTCAATTTTTCAGTTTTTCAAGGTTCTGATTTTCTGATTTTTCTTTCTTTTCAACATGAAATTTTTCAATTTTCGAAATTTAATTTTCGAGTTTTTTAGATCTTTCAATGTTAGTTTTTCGACTTTATAATTTTACGATTCTATAATTTTTCGAATTTACAATTTTTCGATTCGATTCATTTTTCTTCTTTCCAATTTTAATTTTTTTGCGATCTTTAAGTTTTTTGATCTTTAGTTTTTCAATGTTTCAATTTTTCGTTTATCGATTTGCAATTTTTCGATTTTTTCAAGTTTCGGTTTTTAATTTTTTCAATTTTTCGGTTTTTCAATGTTCTGATTTGCGTTTTTTCAAGTTTTCATATTAAATAGATAGCTAATAATTACTATAATTTTTAAAAATATTTACTTTTTCACTTTTACGATTTTGAAGTGCTCTAATTTCCAATTACAGGCTGTTAAACGTTTTTCTTTTATTCGATTTTTCATTTTCTCGATATTTAATTTTTCAGTTTTTCGACTTTGTAATTTTGACGATTCTATAATTTTTGGAATTGACAATTTTTGGGTTTTCCAATTTTTCGATTCGATTCGTTTTTTCTTGTTTCCAATTTTCAGTTATATGATGTTAAAACTTTCTAATTTATTCGGTTTTTCAATTTTTCGATATTAGTTTTTCGACTTGATAAATTCGACGATTTATCGAATTTACAATTTTTGGCTTTTGCAATTTTTCGATTCGATTCGTTTTTTTTTTCTTTTTGATTTTTAAATTTCTTGATATTTAATTTTTCAAAGTTTCAATTTTTCGTTTCTTAAGTTCTTCGATTTGCAATCTTTCGATTTTTAAATTTTTTCTGTTTTACCAGTTGTTTTGTTTCTTGAGTTTTACGACATGTATCTATCCCATTGAGCTTTCGTTTTAAATTTTTTTTGTTTATCGATTTTCCAACTTCTGGATGTTAGAATTTTTAATTTTTCATTTCTTCAAGTTTTGATTTGCAACCCTTCACTTTTTCACTTTTACTATTTTCGAATTTTTCCATTTTTCAATTATAGGATTTTAAAACTTTTTCAATTTCTCGATATTTGATTTTTCAGTTTTTCAACAGTATAATTTTGATGATTCTATAATTTTTGGATTTTACAATTTTGCGATCGTTAAGTTTCTTGATCTATAGTTATTCACTGTACGAATTTTTTGTTTCTTTAGTTCTTCGATTTGCAATTTTCCGATTTTTCATGTTTTCGAATCAAAAATTGGAAAAATTGCAAAACTGTAAAAACGAAAAAGTTCATGCAAAGAAAAATCTAAATAATGGAAATCAAGAAGCGAAACCGGAAACATAAAAATCAAAAAAGTGCAAAAACGAAAAACGGGATATTGTAAAATCGAATAATGGAAATTGAAAAAACCGAGGATTGGAGAAATCCAAACATTGCAAAACTGAAAAATTTGAAAACCGAGGAATTGTAAAATCAAAGAATGAAAATAGCACAAAACAGTGAAAAAATAAAGAAAATGAAAAAACGAAAAACTGTGATATAAAAAATCGAGAAAATAAAAATAAAAAAGTCGGGAAAATGAACTGAATAAACGAAGAACTGAAAAAGCGAAAAATGCAAAATTGTCAAATCGAAAAATAACAAAAAAATTCAAATATACGGAAATCGAGAAAATGAAAAATTGTGATATCAAAAAATTGGTCGAAGATAAATCAATTCAGATTTTTCTAAAAATTGTTATTTCAGGACAACCCTTATAAGTAAAAATAAAGACATATACGTAACGTTAAATATTAACAAATATTTAAAATGACAGTGGCGTTTAAAATACGTTACTCTGGACTCGAACGCTAGAATTTTAGATGTAATTTGAACTTCTGGAGATTTAAAGTGCACTAACTCTAGAAACACTGAGCCATTACTTCTCGAAGTTGCACACCATCCATCACTGTCAATTGAGTTTTCATCAATAAGAAAACATTTTATTGTAACACGAAAACTTACAACTTTAGACAAGCGAACTTAGTTGGATTTTTTGAAGCAGTAATTCCACTTCATATTAATAAATCATCTAGGTAAAAGTATATCGCATTCGACGCCACGGTCCCTCCCACCCCGCGTAATTCTTTAGTGTAAGATCAGTTACTTAACGATTACGCCAACTTACCGTTATGCTGATCCCCAGCCCCTGGCTCGGGCTTCTCTTCACCACCACCGTCCTGATGTCCCCAAAATGCTCGGTTCGCTCGTTAATCGGATCGATTTCGGGCTTGGGACAACTCTTCTCCGAATTATTCAAAATACTATTTCTTCTACACGCCCTCACCACCGTCTTGTGCCTCTGCAGCAAAATCTCCGACTCCAGTTGCCTCCACAACTTATCCCGAACGTCGCCCCTCATTTCTCGCCCTGCAATAATTCAGCGTTTGATATCGATACGAAAACCACCCGAATTCGCCAACCTAGAAGCTGTAACTGCTGTATTCTCCCCGCTAATTCTTTGTCAAGGTACTTCGCCGCCAACTTCGCCCCGTACACCTCGCTGTTCAACGATAAGATGGATTTCCTCAAAGCTGCATTCTCGAGTTGTAACTGCTCGTTTTCGGCTCGGCACTGCGCCGTTTCCATCAGGGTCGGGCTGAATTTCAGCTCGTCGGACTCTTTATTTACTGGAAAAGCGAGGAATCATTAACGCGAATTATGAAGTCCTGAAGTGGGATGAATTTAGTTGGGATTTATGGTCTATTCCTGCAGGAGCTCTCGGCGGGGACGAAATATTGGATTATTTTTTGGCGATTATTTCGAGCGATAAATTTTCATTCCGCCAGGTGAAAATTGAAATTAAGCTGCAGCCGGCGGGGTTGCCGGGGGGATTATTATTACGATTTATGTTTACGCAATGAACATAATGGAAAAGCGTAATAAAGGGATGCTATTGTGGTGGGGTTTTAGGTGCATAAGGGCGGATTTTACAACTCTTAATGGCATGATGGCGATATGTCTAAAAGCAAGGTTTAATTAAAGTTTTATAATTGAAAAGTCACACAGACTTGTTTTAAAGTTAAGAATCCCAATACGAAATCGGTGTTGAAAACTACAATTTCAACTAATATTTATTATATCTATTTATTTTACTGAGTTCAGAAGATATTATTGCTTGAGTTAGTTTTTCAATAAAAGACGACACTTTCCTGACTTGTCACGTACACTTTTCTATACAGGCTGTCTCAAGGGTCTGGTGGTGGGAAATTGCGTACTCCCCCTGAATTGACAACATTTTTTGCGATAGGTTGCAAGATTTTAGAGCATGGGATTTTGCAGTTTCAAAGTTAAATTGTAAAATGTTACACAATTTAAATTTTTTGCCCTAAAATCAAGGCGGATTCATAAACTACAAGTGTCGGAATATGTCAGTTAATAAACTTTACATAATATTTACTATGTAAAATTTTGAAGTGACATCATTTCATTACTGATGGGGACGATTAGACAAATTTTGGTTAGCACTTCACCATCTGCACGACTTTCCTGATGTACACATAAAATTTGACTACAATCGGTCCGGTAGTTTCAGAGATTATCTGTCAAATACAATCGACACAAACGGCAGACGACAGAGACGGAAACGGGAGACATGAATTTTTTCGTACTCTAGGGGTCATGAACCGCTGAAAAAACATGAAAATTGCCATTCGCTCGATGGGATCTATTACAATACTTTGCTCTGGGTTGTAAAAATGAGTCAAAATGAAAAAAGGTACCAAAAAATGTGATTACAAAAAAAAAAAAAAAAAAAAAAACAAAACAGATCGCAAAAAAGTTAATGCGAAAATTGGACTGAAAACTTTAAAATCTAAAAATTGAAAAATCGAAAAAAATTAAAAACCGAAAAGTTGCAAATTGTAAAATTGAAAAATGTCACTTTGAAAAAGAGAACAAACATGAAATCAGAACATTGGAAAACTGAAAAATTGAAAAAATTAAGAAAATACAAATTGCAAATCCAAAAATTGAAGCAATGAAGAATAGAAAAATCAAAAGTTGATAACTCCAGAAATTGCAAAATCTAAAAAAATTGATACATTCAGAAGTTAGAAAATTTAAAAATAAAAACATAAAAGTCATAAAATTAAAGGTACAAAAAAATGGGAAATTGCAACTCCAAAAATTGAAAAAAAAAGAAAAAATTATAAAATCAGAACATCCAAAACTCAAAAATTTGTGTAAATAAGAAAGAATAAAAAAGGGAAACGAAAATTTTTTTAGAAATGAGAAATTAAAAGAAACGAAAAATTGAAGAAACAAAAATTGAAAAATCGAAAAACTGAAAAATATAAAAAGTTGCAAATTGGAAAATTGAAAAAATTAGGAAAATACAAATTGCAAATCGAAAAATTGAAGCAAATCAAAAAATTACAAAATCTAAAAAGTGCTAACAGTTAGAAAATCGAAAAACTGAAAAATTTTAAAATGAAAACTTCAAGCCGTAAAATTGAAGCGGCAAAAAAAATCATAAATTGAAAAGTTTAACAAACGAACTTCTCAAAAGCCGAAATTGAAAAGACAAAACAAGAGATGTGCGAAATGAAAAATGAGATGAGCGAAATGAGAAATGGGATGATCGGAATGAGAAATGACATGAGCGGCATGAAAAATAAGATGTGCGAAATTAAATTTGTGGTGTGCCAAAATGTGATATGCGAAATGAAAAATGACATGTGTGAAATGACGTGCGAAAAGAGAAATAAAATCTGCTAAACGAGAATTGAGACGTGCGAAATGAAATTTGAGGTGTGCGAAATGAAAAATGAATTGTGCGAAATGAGAAATGCGTGACATGAAAAATAACATATACGAAATGAAATATGAGATGTGCGAAGTGAGAAATGAATTGCGCGAAATGAGAAATGAATTGTGCGAAATGAGAAATGAATTGCGCGAAATGAAATATGAGATGTACGAAATGAAATATGAGGTATGGGAAAAGAAATATGAAGTATGCGAAATAAAAAATGAGATAGATGTGCGAGATGAGAACTGGAATGTGCGAAAAGAAATTGGAGGTGTGCGAAAGAAAATTTAAGGTGTGCGAAATGAAATCTGAGATGTGCAAAATGAAATATGAGATGCGTAAAATGAAATATGTGACATGTACTAAAAAAGGTGTCATAAATGTGATTGGGAAAATTGGAAAAAAATGACTAGCGCGAAATGAGAAAATATATGCGCGAAATAAAAATATGATATGCGAAATGAAATGAGATGTGTGAAATGAAAATAAGAATGCGAAATGAACAATGAGATATGGGAAATGAAATCTGAGGTGTGCGAAATGAAAAACGAGATATGCGAAATGAAAAACGAGATATGCGAAATGAAAAACGAGATGTGCGAAATGAAAAACGAGATGTGGGAAATGAGAAATGAGATGTGCGAAATGAAATTTGGGATGTGCAAAATGAGAACTAACATGTGTCAAAAGAAAAATGAATTGTGCGAAATGAAATTTAAGGTAAGCGAAATGAGATGTGTGATATGAAAACTGAAACAAAAGAAGACCTGAAAGAGGTGAACAACACGCCAGAAAAAAATCACTTCAAATGTACCAAAAAAGACGTCATAAATGAAATTGCGAAAATTGGATCAAAAAGGAGACAAAAAAGGACACCAAAATTTAAGGTATGCGAAATGAGAAATGTGATTTGTCAAATGAAATTTGAGATGTGCAAAATGAGAAATAACATGTGCGAAATAAAATTTAAGGTATGCGAAATGAGATGTGCGACATGAAAAATGAAAAAAAAGACCTTAAAGAAGTCAACAACTACGCCACAAAAATTACTTAAAAATGTACCAAAGAACGCGTCATAAATGCGATTGGGAAAATTGGGTCAAAAAACAGACAAAAAAGGGGACCAAAATTTAAGGTATGCTAAATGAAAATACGACATGCAAAATGAAAAATGACATGGGCGAAATGACAAGAGATGCGCGAAATAAAATATGAGATGTGCGACATAAAAATACGATATGCGAAATGAAAAATGAGATGTGGGAAATGAAATCTGAGGTCTACGAAATGAAAAACGAGATGTGTGAAATGAAAATAAGATATGCGAAATGAGAAATGAGACGTGCGAACTGAAATAAGCGATGTGCGAAGTGAAATGGGATGGGCAGAATGACAAATAAGATGTGCGAAAAGAGATGTGGGAAATGAAATGAGAAAATTGAGAAACTTCCAAATCGAAACAATACAAAACCGAAAAAACGAAATATCGTAAAATCCGAATATTGAAAATTGCAGAAATCGGAAAATCGGACAATTGAGAAATCCTGAAATTGCAAAAAAGTGGAAAATCGAGAAAATGAAGAATAAAAATCAAGAATTTGATAAATTGAAGAAACGAAGATTTGAAAAATTTTAAATTGACAAATTGAAAAATCGATTTTTAATTTTTCAATTTTACGATCATTCAATGCTACACTCTTTCGACTATAGAATTTTTACGATTCTACAATTTTTTGATCCTACAATTTTTGGTTGTCCAATTTTTCGATACGATTCGTTTCTTCTCCTTTCCAATTTTTCGATTTTCCCGTTTTTTCATTTTGCAATTTCTCGTTTTTTCCGTTTTTCTAGATGTGCGACATGAAATAAAAATTGGGATGTATGAAATGAAATATGAGATGTGTGAAATGAGAAATGAGACGTGTGAAATGAAATTTGAGGTGTGCAAAAGGAGAAATAACATGTATTGTGACAATTGAAAAATGAATTATGCGAAATGAAATTTCAGGTATGCGAAATCAGAAATGAGATGTGCGGTATGAAAACTGGAACAAAAGAAGACCTAAAAGAGGTCAACAACACCGCCACAAAAAAATCACTTCAAATGTACCAAAAAGGCGCCATAAATGAAATTGGGAAAATTGGGTAAAAAGGAGCCCCAAAATTTAAGATATGCGAAATGAAATTTGGGATGTATGAAACGAAATATGAGATGTGTAAAATGGGAAATGTGAGGTGCAAAATGAAATTTGAGATGTGCAAAATGAGAAATAACATGTGCGAAATGAAAGTTAAGGTATGCGAAATGAGATGCGCGATATGAAAAATGAAAAAAAAAGACCTAAAAAATCAGCGCCACAAAAAGCACTTAAAATGTACCAAAGAAGGCGTCATAAATGCGATTGGGAAAATTGGGTCAAAAAAAGACAAAAAAGGGCAGCAAAATGTAAGGTATGCCAAATGAAAATACAATATGCTAAATGAAAAATGAGATGTGCGAAATGAGAAGAGATGGCCGAAATAAAATATGAGATGTGCGAAAAGAGAAATAAGATGCGGGAAATGAGAGGTGCGGAATGAAAATTGAAATGTGCAACATGAGAAATTGTGCGAAATGAAATGAGAAAATTGAGAAATTTCAAAATCGAAACAATGCAAAACCGAAAAAACGAAATATTGTAAAATCCAAATATTGAAAATTGAAGAAATCGGAAAATCAAGATATTGAAAAATTGATAAAAATAAAATAATAAAATCAGAAGAAACACTCAAAAATAAAGGAAATGAAAAAACGAAAAATTGTAATGTAAAATCGAGAAAATGGAAAATAAAAATCAAGAATTTCAAAAATTGAAGAAACGAAAATTTGAAAAATTTAAAAATTGACAAATTGAAAAATTGATTTTTAATTTTTCAATTTTTCAATCGTTCAGTGCTATATTTTTTCGACTTTACAATTTTGACGATTCTACAATTTTTGGTTTTCCAATTTTTCAATACGATTTATTTTTTCTCCTTTCCAGTTTTTCGAATTTGCAATTTCTCGTTTTTTCAGTTTTCCGATTTTTCAATTTTTTAGTTTTACGAGATGTGCGAAATGGAATGGATGTGGGAAATGAAAAACTAGATGTGCGAAATGAAATATGAGATTGTCGAAATGAGAAATGCGCTGTGTGAAATGAAAATTAAGGTCTACGAAATGAGAAATGAGATGTGCGCAATGAGAAATAAAAAAAGACCTAAAAGAGGCCAACAGCCCCACAAAAAATCACTTCAAATGTGCCAAAAAAGGACCATGAATGTGATTGGGAAAATTGGCTCAAAAACAGACAAAAAAGGGCACCGAAATTTAAGGTGTTCCAAATGAAAATACGATATATGCGAAATGAAAGTAAGATATGCGAAATGAGAATAAGATATGCGAAATGAGAAATGAGATGTGTGAAATCAAATAAGCGATGTGCGAGGTGAAATGGGATGTGCAGAAAAATAAATAAAATGTGCAACATGAGATGTTGTGCGAAAAGAAAAATGAAATGTGCGAAAAGAAAAATGAAATGTGCGAAATGAAATGAGACAATTGAGAAACTTCAAAATCGAAACAACGCAAAACCGAAAAAACGAAATATTGTAAAATCCAAATATTGAAAACTGAAGAAATCGGAAAATCGAGAAATTGAAAATTTGAAAAATTGATAAATGAAAAATGAAATTTAAGGTCTACGAAATGAGAAATGAGATGTGCGAAATGAAATTTGAGGTGTGCAAAATGAGAAATAACATGTGACAAATGAAAAATGAATTGTGCGAAATGATTCAGGTATGCGAAATGAGAAGTGCGATATGAAAACTGAAACAAAAGAAGACCTAAAAGAGGTCAACAACACCGCCACAAAAAATCACTTCAAATGTACCAAAAAAGGCGCCATTTTAAGGTATGCGAAATGAAAAATGAGATGTGCGAAATGAGAAGAGATGCGCGAAATAAAATATGAGATGGGCGAAATAAAAATTATGCGAAAAGAGAAATAAGACGTGCGAGATGAAAAATAAGATGTGCGAAACGAAATGAGAAAATTGAGAAACTTCAAAATCGAAACAATGCAAAACCAAAACGACGAAATATTGCAAAATCGAAATATTGAAAATTGAAGAAAAATTTCAAAAATTGGAAAATCGAGAAATTGAAAATTTTTAATTGATGAGCGAATAATTATAAAATCAGAAGAAACACTGAAAAATAAAGGGAATGAAAAAACGAAAAAATTGTAATATAAAAATCGAGAAAATGAAAAATAAAACCAAGAGTTTGAAAAATTGAAGAAACGAAAATCTGAAAAATTTAAAGTTGACAAATTGAAAAATCGATTTTTAATTTTTCAAAATTTCAATCGTTCAATGCTACACTTTTTCGACTCTAGAATTGTTATGAGCCTACAATTCTTTGATTTCACAATTTTTGGTTGTTCAATTTTTCGATACGATTCGTTTTTTCTCCTTTCCAATTTTTCGATTTTCCCGTTTTTCCATTTTGCAATTTCTCGTTTTTTCTGATTTTCTAGATGTGCGAAATGAGAAAAGAGGTGTGGGAAATGAAAATTGGGATATATGAAATGAAATATGAGATGTGTGAAATGAGAAATGTGAGGTGCAAAATGAAATTTGAGGTGTGCAAAATGAGAAATAACATGTGCGAAATGATGTGCGATATGAAAACTGAAAAAAAAGACCTAAAAGAAGTCAACAACAGCGCCACAAAAAATCACTTAAAATGTACCAAAGAAGGCGTCATAAATGGGTAAAAAACAGACAAAAAAAGGGCCCCAAAATTTAAGGTATGCCAAATGAAAATACGCTATGCGAAATAAAAAATGAGATGTGCGAAAAAAAATTCGATATGCGAAATCAAAAATGGGATGTGTGAAAGGAAATCCTATTTCTACGAAATGAGAAACGAGATGTGTGAAATGAAAATAAGATATGCGAATTGAGACATGAGGTGTACAGAATGACAAATAAGATATGCGAAAAGAGAAATAAGATGTGCGAAATGAAAAATGAGATGTGCGAAACGAAATATTGTAAAATCCAAATATTGAAAATTGAAGAAATCGGAAAATGGGATAATTGGGAAATCCAAAAATTGCAAAAAAGTTTAAGAATTGGAAAATGGACAAATTGAAAAATTGAAAATTTGAAAAATTGATAAAGGGAACATTATAAAATCAGAAGAAACAAGGGAAAAATAAAAATTAAGAATTTGAAAAATTGAAGAAACGAATATTTTGAAAAATTAAAAATTGACAAATTGAAAAATGCTGAAATGCTACACTTTTTGGACTTTACAATTTTGACGATTCCACAATTTTTTGATTGGAAAATAAGATGTGCAAAATGAGGAATGCGATGTGCGAAATGAGAATTGAGATGTGCAAAGTGAGAAATGAAAAGTGTGAAATGAATTGGAGGTGGGCGAAATAAAATTTGGGGGTGCTATAAGAAATATGAGATGTGCGAAATGAGGAATGCGATGCTTACGAAATGAGAAATGAAATGTGTGCAATGAGAATTGAGATGTGCGAAATGAAATACGAAAGATGAGATGTGCGAAATGCGATGAATTGTTGTAAGATATAAAAGTGTGTTATAGTTAAAAATAAAAGTCAATTAAACAACGACACGTACAAAACAATTCAGACAGATCGAAATGGGGGATAACTTTTTCACATTCTAAAAGTTGTGGAAACAGCCATCTGTTAAATGGACCATAAATTAAAAAAGAGAACATAATGTAACAATCCACAACATCGAAAATACCTACAAAGAAAAAACTGTTTGTGTTAAATTTCAACACAAAAACTCAAATGTTAACCGCTGCCCATTTGACTTAATTTAAAGTCGAATATTTGCGGAAATTGCCAGAAATATGACCTTTTCAAACTATAATAAATGTCTATAAAATTACGCTTAATTACGCTTGAATATCCTTGATATCCATAGCCGGCACACAAATTAAACGAAAGAGCAGCGAACCTGCTTATGTTTACTTGTGATCAATATACGAATATTGCATATGAAAATTTCCAAAATTTCAAACAGGTGCTTTTTTCTATGTGTTGGGTGAACGGAGTGCAGGATATTTTTTCGTATTCAAAACCCACTTTTCTATTCGTCGTAAAATCTTCCTCTAGCACAAGCAGCGTTAAAAATTGTCTCGAAACTTGTTAACAACTAGTGTCTTATTTAGATTTATTTCGGGCTCTGAAAACTGAACACGTCAAAAATCCGATTTATAATTCCGGGAAAGTGCTTCTAGACTGAGAACTTCTGTTTATTTTTTATTTTATTTTAATAATGACAAAGCATCCTCTTTGCTTAATGGATTTTTTTTAAATGCAGATAAATCAAAAAACACATTTACACAATAACCATCATAATTCAGGCCGAAAATGGCCTCCGTAGCAGACTGCAAGCGTTCGCCTTGACTGCACACAGATTGTATCAATGCCACAAACACAATGACTTATTACCGAAAATAAAATATGGCCCCACTTTATCGCCCCCGAGATGGTACAAAGCGCACAAAAGCCGAAATAACTTTATTAAACTCGTTGAAATATTGGCGGAGTCGATGGATCCCGTGTTAGGCCCGCAAAGTCGCTTAATAAAATTTTTTGATTAAACACGTGTCATGTCGGCCGCGGAACGACGCCGAAATTTTGCGCAACTGCAATTTGCATGCTTTATTAACTCGATGGTCGTCTGCAGACGCAAAAACTCGAGGAAAGCGCCACTCACTCCTAATATTACGTATGGGACTTTGCCGGAGTTCCGCTTCGAGCTTTTTCTTGATGTTATTTACGTCGGGTTTAAAGTTCGGGTCTTGTTTTCGATTACCCAAACTGTCGGGCAGTTGAGAGAGCTGCGACGAATGCAACTGCAGGAGTAAATTGTGCAGTTCCTGCTCGAGGAGTTCTCGTTTTGCTTTGGATTCCACTAGTTCGGCCCTCATGTGGATGAGCTCCGCCTGGAACAAAGAAGGGCGTTAAGATTAGAAACTCGTTAGAGGGGTTTGTGGAGCGTGATCGGAAATTTTCACAAAAAACTGGATGCCAGACATAACTTATGGTGCCCAGTTTACGAGACAAACTATAAAAACGGATTCTACAAATTTTATTTTTTCGAATGAAGACGTCAGAAATATTAAGAAAAAAAAAAGTATGTTTCTAGAATTTACGCAAGGTTAAATAAAACTTTCATATTTTTAATCCGTTTCCAGGGTATTACTTTTATGATTTCTTCTTTTAACTTTTAACAAAAACTGGTCGAAAGTTACGTCGACAGAGCTTCCCTCGATCCTGAAGTACAGCGACAAAAATAGGGCGTCTTGGACAAATTATAAAAAAATTAAGTTAAAACCAGTGGCGTAAATAACACTCCCGCGGCCTCTTTTTGTTTCTTTAGTTTTTCGAATTGCAATTTTTCTTTTTCGACTTAAAATTTCCCGAGGTTTCGATTTTAAATTTTGAATTTTTCGATTCTCTAATTTTTCATTGTTTAACCTTGAGAGGTTGAATGTTAATGAATAACACGTCTTTTTTACGATTAATAACTTTACTAATACACTTTTAATCACACACTGAATAAGCAGTAATTAATAATTACTGTTGAATAATAAAAGGATACGATACCGACCACTAGATTAGTGAATGAATATAAATACGTCTTAAGTTTAACAAAATAAGTTTTAATGGGAGGAGCTTACAACCTTTTTACCTGAAGGAATGGGAAAACCCATTCGGTGTTGTACATAGGATTGTCTACAACATTCATTTCTTGAAATTTTCGATCTGCAATTTTTTGTTTCGGTTTATTCTCTTTATTTTTACAATTTTCAGTTTTTCAATGCTCCGATTTTATAATTTTTTGTTTATTCAATTTAAACTTTTTCGATTTTTCATTTTTTTTGTTTTTTCAGTTTTTCGATTTTCCAATTTTAGAACGTTTAGTTTTAGATTTTGCAATTTTTTCATTTTCACTGGTTTTTCAATGTTCTGATTTCATGTTTTTTTTAATGTGAAATTTTTCAATTTTTGGATTTTCCAATTCTTTAAAATTGTCGTTTCTTGAATTTTTGATTTGCAATTTTTCTAGTTTTCATTTTTTACGATTTTAGAATTTTTCCATTTTCTAAAATTATTTATTAAAATTATTATTATTAGATTTTAACACTTTTTGATTTTATCGATTCTTCAATTTTTCGATCGTTCAATGTTACAGTTTTTCGACTTTACAATTTTGAAGATTCTACAAAAAACGAAATATTATAAAATCCAAATACTGAAAATTCAAGAAATGGGAAAATCGGATAATAGAGAAATTGGAAATTGCAAAAAAGTTTCAAAAATTGGGAAATCGAAGAATGGAAAAATTGAAAAATTGAATAAACGAAAAATTATAAAATGGGAAAACCCTGAAAATAAAGAAAATGAAAAAATGAAAAATCGAAAAATAAAAACCAGAAAACGAAAATTAAAAAATCAGTAAAACGAAAAATAAAAATGAAGAACTTGAAAAATGGACGAAACAAAAAACTGAAAAATTAAAAATTAAGAAATTGAAAAATCGATCTCTGGATATTTAATTTTTCAATTTTTCGATCGTTCAGTGTCAAGGTTTTTCGACTTTGCAATTTTGACGAATCTACAATTTTCCGATTTCACAATTTTCGTTTTTCTTCTTTGCAATTTTTCGATACAATATTTTTTTCACTTTTGATTTTGAAATTTCTCGTTTTATCAGTTTTTCGATTTCGATTTTTAACTTTTCAAATAAAAAAAATGAAAAACTTGCGAAGTTGTAAAATTGAATAATCAAAAATGAAATTACGAAAAAGTATAAACTGAAGACTTTGAAAAATCTAAAAACTGGAACTCAATAATATGAAAAATTGAGAAAGTTCAAAATCGAAAAAACGAAATATTGTCAAATCCAAATATTGAAAATTGACAAAATCGGAAAATTACATAATAGAGAAATCCAACAATTGGAAAATCCAGGAATTGAAAAATTGAAAAAACAAAAAATTGTAATATCAAATCCAGAAAACCAAAATGAATAAATCAGGAAAATGAAAAACAAAAATACAGAACCTGAAAAACTGAATAATTAAAAATTGAGAAATTGAAAAATCGATTTTTAATTTTTCAATTATTCGATAGCTCAACGTTTTTCGACTTTACAATTTTGACGAATCTACAATTTTCCGATTTCCCAATTTTTGGGTTTTTCAATTTTTCGATACGTTTCGGTTTATCTCCTTTCGAATATTTCGATTTTTAGCATTTCAAATTAAAAAATTGGAAAAATTGCGAAGTTGTATAATTAAATAATCAAAAATGAAATTGCGGAAAAGTATAAAACGAAGACTTTGAAAAATCTAAAAATTGGAAATCAATAATTTGAAAAACTGAGGAACTTTAAAATCAAAAAACGAAATATTGTAAAATCCAAATATTGAAAGTTGAAGAAATTGGAAAATTAGATAATAGAGAAATTGAAAAATTGAAAAAACGAAAAATTGTAATATAAAATCCAGAAAACCAAAATGAATAACTCAGGAAAATGAAAAACAAAAATACAAAACCTGAAAAACTGAATAATTAAAAATTGGGAAATTGAAAAATCGATTTTTAATTTTTTCAATTTCTCGATATTTAATTTTTCAATTATTCGATCGCTCAATGTTACAGTTCTTCGACTTTACAATTTTGAAGAATCTACAATTTTCCGTTTTCACAATTTTTGAGTTTTTCAGTTTTTCAATTCGAGTCGTTTTTCCCGTTTCCAATTTTCCGATCCATTATTCTTTTCGCTTTTTAATTTCAGTTTTTAGTTTTTTTAGTTCAATTTTTGTTCTTCTCTTTTTAGATTTTTCAATTATTTAATTTTCCGATGTTTATATTTTCGAATTAAAAAAATTGCAAAATTGTAAAATTGAATAATCAAAAATGAAATTGCGAAAAAGCATAAAATGTAAAAATTGGCAGTCAATAATTTGAAAAATTGAGAAACTTCAACATCGAAAAAATGCAAAATCAAAAAAACAAAATATTGTAAAATCCAAATATTGAAAATTGCAAAAAGTTAAAAATTGGAAAATCGAGGAACTGAAAAATTAAAAATGCGAAAAATTGAATAAACGAAAAATTGAAATATAAAATCCAGAAAATAAAAATAAAAATCAAGAACTTGCAAAATTGAGAAAACGAAAAATTGAAAAATTAAAAATTAAAAATCGTTTTTTAATTTTTGAATTTCTCGACATTTAATTTTTCAATTATTTGATCGTTCAATGTTACAGTTTTTCGACTTTACAAATTTGAAGATTTTAATTTTTCGCTTTTCACAATTTTTGGGTTTTCCAATTTTTTGATGCGATTCGTTTTTTCTTCTTTCCAATTTTTCGTTTCTTCAATTCAGTTTTAAGATTTTCCCCTTTTTTGATTTTTAACTTTTCGATTCAAAAAATGAAAATATTGCAAAATTGTAAAATTGAATATTCAAAAATGAAATTACGAAAAAGTGTAAAATAAAGACTAAAAATTGGAACTAAAAAATTGGAAATTTGTAAAATGGAATAATCAAAAATTAAATTACGAAAAAGTATAAAATGGAGACTGAAAAATCAAAAAATTTAACACAATAATGTGAAAAATTGTAATATTGTAAAATTCAAATATTGCAAATTGAAGAAATCGGAAAATCGGATAATTGAGAAATCTGAAAATTGCAAAAAATTTAAAAATTCGAATTTCCAGGAACTTGAAAAATTGAATAAACGAAAAATTATGAAATCGGAAAAAATACTGAAAAAGGAAATGAAAAAATCGGGAAAATGAAAAAGAAATATCAAGAACTTGAAAAATTGAGGAAAATCAACAAATTGAAAAATTATAAATTGAGAAACTGAACATCGATCTTTAATTTTATAACTCCTTGACATTTAATTTTTCAATTATTAGAATGTTAAATGTCAGTTTTTCGACTTAACAATTCTGACGATTCTATAATTATTCGATTTCACAATTGGGTTTTCCAATTTTTCGATACAATTCGTTTTTTCTCGTATCCAATTCGATAATTTTTTTTTCTATTTAAGCTAAATTTATCGATTTTGCCCTCTTTCGATGTTGCGATGTTTTTTCCGTTTTTCGATTTTTTAATTTTTTAGTTCTTCGATTTTTAACTTTTCGAATCAAAAAAATGAAAAAATCACAAAATTTTAAAAATGAAATTACGAAAAAGTACAAAATGAAAACATTGAAAAATCTAAAAATTGGAACTCAATCATTTGAAAAATTGAGAAACTTCAAAATGGAAAAAATGGAAAATCGGATAATGGAGAAATCCGAAAATTGGAAAAAGGTTTCAAAAATTGGATAATAATCCAAGAATTGAAAAATTGAAAATTCTGAAAATTGAATAAACGAAAAATTGTAAAAATCGATAAAATGAAAATTAAAAAATTATGAAAATGAAAAATAAAAATCAAGAACTTGAAAAATTGAGAAACGAAAAACTGAAAAATTAAAAATCTATTTTTAATTTTCAATTTCTCGATATTCAATTTTTCAGTTTTTCGATCGTTCACTGTTACAGTTTTTCGACTTTACAGTTTCGGTGATTCTATAATTTTTCGATTTCACAATTGTTGAGTTTTCCAATTTTTCGATCCATTATTTTTTTCGCTTGAATAATCAAAAATGAAATTACGAAAAAGTACTCTGAAAAAGCTAAAAATTGGAACTCAATAATGTGACAAATTCAGAAATTTCAAAAACGAAAAAACGAAATATTGTAAAATCCAAATATTCGGATATTTGACAAATCCGAAAATTGCAGAAAAAGTTTGAAAATTGGAAAATCGAGAAATTGAAAAATAAAGGAAATGGAAAAATGAAAAATTGTAACATAAAATCGAGAAAATAAAAATTAGAAAATCGGGAAAATGAAAAATAAAAATGA